CAGATGAACAATAAAGCTCCAGAAACATTGAAACATGCAATAGACTATTTCAGAGGGAAGTTGGGGGTGGGGGAGTGTGAGCAGGAAGAGATTAACCAATGAACTTATATGCATATATGCACAGTCGTGGGCACACAATAGTTCAGGGAAGGCCTGGGGAGTGGAAGAGACTGGGGTAGAGGGGAAAAAATGCTTGAGATAAATGACAGGTGGTTTTCTGGATTTTATTTCCTTACATGTTCTCTGGCAGAAAAGAGGACAGTTACCAACCACACTGGGCTTGGGGAAGATTCATTCATTCAAGAAGTATTGATTTGCCAGGCACTAGTCTATGTACAGGAGATTCAGGATAAAACAGCAAGAACAAAACTCCCTGCCTTCGGGGAGAGTTTGCAGTCCAGTAAGAAGACAGATACTTCATAGTATGTTAGGTGACCAGGGTAGGAGGATAGAAACTGGGTGATTAGGGAAGGCCCGAGGGGGAAATGATACCTGAAGACACGTGGAGCTACTGTAAATAGCGCAGGATCTCTTAGTACAGCCTGTGGAAAGCCCTGTAGGGGGCACGGATGGGGGGTTTAGAGGAGCCTAAGGATGGCAAAGAGGCCCCCGTGCCTAAAAGATTAGTAGAAAGCAGCCCTAGCCGGTTTGGCTCAGTGGATAGAGCATCAGCGTGTGGACTGAAGGGTCCCGGGTTCGATTCCCGTCAAGGGCATGTACTTTGGTTGCGGGCACATCCCCAGTAGGGAGTGTGCAGGAGGCAGGTGATCGATGTTTCTCTTTATCCCTCTCCCTTCCTCTCTGTAAAAAAATCAATATATTTAAAAAAAGATTAGTAGGAAGCAGAAGAATAAGAGGTGAGGCGGCCTTGGCGCTCACTGTGACGCCTTTGGCCTTTGATGACGGGCCAGGTGAGAAGCCTGTGGAAGGTTTTGAGCCCGAGCGCTGACATTTCAACCGGGTCTGGTTGGCCTCTGAGCCAATAACCTAGTGACGAGGTGGGGAGCGTGGGAACAAGCGGTCATCCGGCTGTTTCAATAACCCAGGCTAAAACGATGGTTGGAGCTCGGACCGGTCTGGTAGGAAGTGTGAGAAGGGGTTGGATTCTGTCTATATTGGCAAATAGAGCCAACTGGACCCACGAATGGTGGGGAGTGAGAAAAATCAGAGGTGCCACCGCGCTGTTTTGACCTGCGTAACTCCTAATGGCGTAGCGGGGCTGGGGAAGGGTGCAGGGTGGGACAGGGTGGCGGTGGGCAGTGGCCCGAGGTTGCCCGTCAGCCACCTACGGGTTCGCGTGCACACGTGGCTC